ACACCAGCCTGAAGATGACGAATGGGACTTCGTCGAAACGTCGCCAAGACACTTCCAATTTTACGCGGTTGAAAACCCGAACAACCAAAGACATATATATATATATATATATATATATATATATATATATATATATATATGTATATGTATATGTATATGTATATGTATATGTATATGTATATGTATATGTATATGTATGTATGTATGTATATGTACATGTACATGTATATGTATACATGCAGTACCTCTCTCTCTCTCTGCTTTCAGTGCACCACTATAGTACTGGTTACAGGAACCTTCCCCTTCCTAGTGTCTTCCAGACATGATAAGACTAAATTTCCTTTCTCCCTACCATGTTGCTTCAGACTTTTCTAAATGCAAATGGAATAAGATGTTTTGAAGAATCAGTGATACTGTTCCATTCTTTTTTTCTCAAGCAATCTGTGTTCCAGCTTTCCAGTAGAAAGAGGATTGATTTCAGGCTGTTTCCTATAAAAGAAAATAAATGGTCAATTCAATTTGCAAAATGTTCCTTCTTCTTGGTGGGCTTGCGCTATGCCCTTGCAATAGTCAATTGGTGAATTTGATTCAACAACTTGAATCATTCACAAGAGCAGAACTAAGAACTTGAAATGCCATTGATATGGCACTCACCATGTTTCAGTCTCCTGAGAGTTGAGCTGAACCTGTTTGAACACACGTGCCGATTTAATGATCTGACAAACTAGACCACAGCTTCTGGAGATATGTTGGTCGGCTGGCTACTGTTTTATCCTTTGTACTTCATTTAAACTTCAGTATTTGGGTTATGCAAATAATTGTTTCAAAGCCATTCCCTTGGCTCAAGGGAACTTGTTTCTTTTCAGAAAAAGAATTATTTGTACTTCAATTAGCAAAACACACTGAATTCCTTGACCGTGCTGGCCCCAATCCAGTGAAATATACACATGCCAGATCCAGTGTTGAACTAAGATCTTTAGTTTTCGTTTTAAGCCACAGTGATTCTCAATCTCCCACATATTCTATGCTACAAGCTTCATTTAAAAACTAGACAGTTTAAGTCAACATATTGCGTGACAAGAAATGCATGAGCTGATATCAAGATCCTTTGGTACTACATGTGTGGCTGCTGTTTAGAGATTTTACAAAAATGTCTTAGTAAGTTTCACACATAATATGCCAGAAAATGGTTTGTTTATGAACTATTATAGTTAGTAAATGCCAATAAATGAACCATGGTTTTGAAACTAATGTGTTGCACTCATTAATTATGTGCAAACAGGGATGCATGGTCCATGGTTTCTTGGCTTATTCCAAGTATACCTTTATGTTCAGTCCATGCTTCTGAACAAATTCACTGAGGGATAAGGCAGAGGTTGATTAAAAAGCAGGGAAAAATGAAACTAGGAATTGGCTAAACAAACCTAATTACATTCTTGCTCAAATGTATTTAAGTTTTATACATATTGTCATGGTTCGACAGATGAAACTCTTCAAAGAACTCTGAGGTATTGTTTACCTTAAAGAATCTTTATTCGAGAAGCATAACATCGGCACTAACATAATTGAAGTCAAAAACTGAATTCCCCCCTTGAGCACATAGTATCAAAGCACAATTCCCTCCTCCAATTAACTGTCAGAAATCACATTCCCCAATTACATCATAGGCTTTCCCTCCAGCTCAGTGTTTCTCAACTTTGACATTTTAAGGCATGTGGACTACAACTCCCAGAATTCCACAGCCAGAATTGCTGGCTGTGGAATTCTGGGAGTTGAAGTCCATATGCCTTAAAATTGTCAAAGTTGAGAAACACTGCTCCAGCTCTCCAGCCCAATTCTTATCATCTCTTATTTCAACAACCTTGATTCTCACACTAGGTTCAGTATTATTATGTCTAGCTGAACTCTCATGCACATCCCCCCCTCCCCAGCATCATCTAACTCTAAAAGCAAAAAGAAGAAAATGGCCACATCTCCGTTATCAAAGCAAAACGTCCAATGTTAGTAGCGTTGACACATATTGTACCTGTTGTTTTTATTGGTTTGTAAAAGATTTTGTGATGTGCAGCATCCACAGAAGCAGACATTTTATGCATACTCATTTTGATGTCTGCCAAGATGCTTTCAAAATTCCCTCAGCTCAAAGACAGCAACCCCCATCGTACTATGCCATAATGATTTTGAGCTTGACTTTTTAATTATTAAAAACTGATCAATAGTTATAGAGCACCGCAAAGCCTATACAGTACTTTAAGGGGCTGAACTGGGGCATTAGGACAATCAGAGTCTCTTGGTCCAACCTAACTCACAGAACTTTACTGTGAGGAACAATAAGAAGATGGCAAATTAATCTGACAAATGGTATTAATCTTGCAATGGGACCTAAGGAATATTGAATGGAAATTATCATTCCGTTTCCCTCCATCCTGCTCCCACTTCATTTCTACAGCTGTAACCTAGTTCCCTCTACTTCAATTTCAGGAGATAAGGAAGATGCAACAAACAGTATTTTTTTTTTGCTATGAAAAATATGATTATCCCTTAGAATTTTCTGTTTTAGATTAGCTGATAAGCTAATTATTTACCTCCATTGGCTTCTAGTTCCCCATTCAGACCTTATCTAATTTTCATAATACCTTCTTGGACAGTTGAGAATATTGGAAGGTTAGCTGAAAACTATGGAAGGAAGGAAGGAAGGAAGGAAGGAAGGAAGGAAGGAAGGAAGGAAGGAAGGAAGGAAGGAAGGAAGGAAGGAAGGAAGGACATTACTCATAAGTGTTACGTGGGTGCACCAAGGCCTACATTTCTGCATTGTGGTCCATAAAGCTTCCAGGTGGTCTTCAAGATAGAGACAGAGTCAGGCCATGAATGACTACAGTAGAAGAAACTGCCATTTGACTGAGGGTTTTTTTCCATCCATTAGCAGGAAAGAATGCTGATTTAGATAGAGAACAGGAAGAGGAGGAAGGTGAGACAAATGACTGATGAGGAATCCCCTGGCCACCATATGACTCTTGTTCATGCTTTTTTTAAAAACTGAATATATTATAGTCAATTTGGCCTTAGTCACTATTACCTTTGGGGGTGGGATGGAAAGAATAACTCTAAGCATACTTACAGTACCGTGGTTGGGATTTTAAAATCTGATTGCTGCAAATCCCCAATACTGATAGTAAAGTTTTTTTTTTTTACAATGATGGTGATTTTAATATCCTTAAGGTTAACTTGGAACCTTCTTATGAACAATCCGGATCTAAATATTCAGAACAATACCGTATATGCCGGCGTATAAGGCGACTTCCGTAAGCGCTAAAATCGGCGCCAAAGACGGGGGTCGTCTTATACGCCGAGTCGTCTTATATGCCGGAAATACTGGTAGTTTCCGGCGTATAAGACGATGTTCTAGGAATGTGGCTCAGCGACAAAGACGGGGGTCGTCTTATACGCCGGGTCGCCTTGTATGCCAGCATATACAGGTACATTAATTGCAATGTTAATACTGATGTGTTAGAGTGGTTAAGGTGTTTGCCAAGGCTTGGACCTGGGTTTAAGCCCATTATCAGCTGGGGTAACTTACTGGGTGAGTCTGAGCCATTTTTTTCTCTATCCCTGTCATTTGTGCTCACATGAATGTGACACAAGAGTTTCTCACAAAGTTGGTTAAAACCCCAAAGGGGGTGGATTCCGGCTTCTTTGCTTTCTAATTCTTACATCAATAGTATGGTGAAATGTCAAACTTCCATGTTCCAATTTCTATCTCCCCAAGCTAAGGGATCACAGCATTGCTCTGCATTGCTTTATCCGAATGATGTTGTATAGATAGTCCTCACTTAACTATCTTAATTGGGATCGGCAATTCCATTACTAGCAGATGTGGACATTAAGCGAAATGTCATGTGACTACTCCACTTAGTGAAGGCAGTTCTGACAATCCCAGGTGGTCTCATTAGGTGAACCCTATGTGGTCATTAGCTGAGGACCCACCTATGTGCAAGCCGTTTTTGAAAGAAGTTAAGGGACGGTCTCCATTCTAACTTCCCCCATCTACTTATCTCTGCCCTTTGGGACACCCACTTACTTGCTGCTGCCACCTCTACTGCACCGTCAGAACCTTTTTCCGCATGCCTTCTTTCACACCAGAGCACTGAAATCTTTGTGAAAGAAGGCCCTGACTGATGTGAAAGAAAGCCACAGTAGTGGTGTACAGTGGGCAGGTGCAGCAGCAATGGGCAGGGCTGGGGTGCAGGGACAAGCTGGTAGGCAGGCCACCAAAAAAGGTGGCTGGCTGTAAATGCGGATAGGTCCAAGTTTTGTTCCTGTGACCACAGGGGTAGTGCAACAACTGGAATTTCAAAGACCAGTAGTAGATTCCTTTGTTCAGGTCCATTATAACTTTGGTTGCTATATGTATAGACATTAAGTAAGAACTACCTGTAATCTTTTCCAGAACCAATAGCCTTAAAAGAGCTCTGAGAGTTCTGATCCAATACTACAGCAATGATCATCTGAAAATAAATTATAAGAAAACCAAAAGTATGGCATTTGGCCAGAGGGTGAAGTTCTGGTCACGGAGCATTAATTATCACAAGGCGGAAAAGGTGACCTGCCTCACTTTGAAGTAATGCATGCCACACATGTAGACTATTGGTTCAAGGAAAGCTCATTGTGAATATAGGTAGTCCTCGAGTTAAGACCACAATTGAGCCCTGTTGTTAAGTGAGACATTTGTTAAGTGAGTTTTGTCCCATTTTAAGACCTTTCTTGCCACAGTGTTTAAGTGAATCACTGCAAAGGTTAAGCTAGTTACAGAGTTATAAAGTGAATCAGGTTTCCCCATTGACTTTGCTCTAAGTGATCACATGACCTTGGGACACAGCAACTGTCTTAAGTATGAACCAGTTGCCAAGCATCTGAATTTTGATCACATAATCATGGGGATGTTGCAACGGTTGTAACTGCGAAAAACAGTCATAAGTCACTTTTTTCAGTGCTGCTGTAACTTTGAACGGTCACTAAACCATTGTAAGTTGAGGACTACCTGTACTGTGTGCCACTGTCACTGGACAAAGTTCTGCCTACACCATTCTTATTTATTTTTTTTGCTTCAAGGGGAGAATTGGAATATAATCAGTTTAATGAAGTTCTGAAGGAAGGCTGGGAAGTACAACCAATAGCAAAATATGCAAATAAACAAGAATGTTAATAGTCAAGGCAGATACTTGATACCTAGAACACATTTCGACTCTAGGATCTCCAAGCTTTAAAAACAGCATTATTCGGGCACACTTTTGGTGCATAGGCTTAACCTGTGCTGCTTTGGTGGGTTATTAATTTTGTTTTGATCATATTTTTTTTCCTGCCACTGTGTTTTTCTGCCATTGTATTTTAAGTAAACGGAGACGTTGTGTGTGTGTGTGTATGTGTGTGCGTGTTGTGTGCAAGCAATGAAATAGATGGTCAATAAATTAAGATACGAAGTTAACTTCAAGACTGGAGGGAGACAAACGGGCTGCACGAAACGAGGCGAGGAAGGGGCTCTCGATTTCTCATCCCACACCTCTCCGTTGTTCGTTCCCCCCTTTCCCGCTCTGCAGAGCACCGAGCTGAAACTCTAAAGCGGGGCCGTCGCTCTCCGATTGCCGGTTAACCGGCCAATCAAGCCCTTCCCGCCGCACGATCAGGCGAACCAGTCGCTCGCCCGGGGATGCCACAGCTTCCACCGTCACGTGAGCAGAAGCCGCCACCGGGGCCGTCGCAAGGCTGGCCTCCCACCAGGCGCGGTATGAGGAAGTCGGCCAGAGGCGCCCTCGTCCCGTTGCCGAGCGCGCTTGCACAGGCGGGAGGGAAGAGAGTCCCGGACGTGAGTTCAAAGCCGTCCGGGGAAAGCGCTCGGTTTTCTTCCCCAAGGGATTGAAGGGAGGGGACCCGACTGTCCCTGTAAGCTAGAGGCAAGCGGGGCGGGCGGGAGGGCGCACTCCGCCCGCCCGCAGCTCGGTTCGCCTAGAAGCCGTATCAAACCTCGGTCACTCAAGGCGGGCAGGGGGAGGGCGGGGAAGAGGAACGTCCAGCTTGATTGGAAACGCCTGAAGATCCGCGCGCCCTACTTCGTAGGAGGCTCGAGCGGGCTTTGTAGTCTGGTTTGGCCGGTAATATACTTAAGCTTGTCCGGGCGCTTGCTTGCTTTCGCTTCGCGCCTCCTTTTTGGGTTCCCCTTCCTCCTTTTCTCCTCGTTGCTGCCGGGCAGGGAAAGCTTGTCCTGCAGCCCTGGAAAAAAAAATAAAAATAAAGGGGGGGGGGAAATGTTGGAAATTGCAAGCCGGAAAAAAGAGGCTGCGGCTACTGCTTGGCCAGGAATGCTTTCTGCCAGCTGTGTTAGGCAGATGTCGGGCGGGCCCCCTTCGGCGGCTTTCTCCGGTCGCCTCGGCAACTTCGAAAGAATCGGATTTTCTTCGCGCGCGCAGGCGCTGCGGAATTTCAACGCAGCCCCGGCTCGATTGCGCGCCCGCCAGACCCGCCTCCGGATCTGCTTCTTCTTTTTTTTTTTTCGTGCAGGTTGGGGGCGTTTTGGCAGCAGCAGCAGCAGCAGCAGGAGGAACGGCAGCCCGCCCGCCCGTAGCCGGCGAGCCAGGTCGCTGCGTGAGGAGGAGGAGGAGGAGGAGGCGGCGAGGAGCCCCGCGGTGTTGGGAGGCCAGCGAGCCGAAGGGACCCGGGCCCTTCCAATGGAGGAAGAGGAGAAGATGGTGGCCGCCGTTGGCGAGGAATGGCAAGAGGTCGCGCAAAAGAGAAAGGCCTGGGCTAAAAGCCGGGACTCCTGGCAAGCGTCGGAGGCCGAGCGCCTTTCTCCAGAACCGGCGGCGGATCTGGCCGCAGAGCAGGAGTTGTGCGGCGCCAAGTTGCCCTTGACTGCGGAAGGAGGTCAGTCTCTTCGGCGAGGCGCTTGTTCCGCCTCCCAGGGGTAGCGACGTGCACACAAAAAAAGCAGAGTCTGGTGACACCTGAAAGGCTAACAGATTTTATACTCGGCGCTTCCCGCATTCTGATGCGCCGCTAGTCGAGGATGGCGCTTCTGGCGGGCGATGACGTCCACTGAAGTTTATAGCTCAGGAAATCAGCTAGCCTTTCACATGCCCAGCAGACTTTGCCTTGCTCCTGTCGGGACAAATCCGAGACAGGCTGGGAGAATTTCTAGTTCCCACTTCGGTCGAAACTACACTTGAAAGGGCTGCTCTACTTTTCTTTCTTTGGAGAAAGTAAGCTGTACTGCCTCGGGGAGAAGGTTGCTTCCGGTAAACCTATTCCTGATTAGGCTGGCTTATAAAATATATTTGTTAAGAATGCTCTTATGTGCTTACTGCACCGTATTGATCAATTACACTCACTGCACTGAGTTGAATTAAAGGGGCCTCGCTCCCTGAGAGTATTGTATTTATATATGATTACACATGAGTGCATTGGTCTAATGCTTAATTGTACATTATTGCCATTTTCTTGTTCCCGAAAAATCCTGAATTATCTCAGCTTGACTCTCCCCTTGTTCCTAAATGATGTGCATTGATTTGCATTGCAAGTCCCTTGGTTTAAGATTCTGGGAAGGCTTTTTTAAAAAAATCACCTTCTTAATCAACTAACTCTTTTCCTTGGATTTGTTTTGCTCTGCTGCCCCCCACCCCTCCTGCAGGTGCTATTCCAAATGAAAAGATTGCAATATGGCTTAAAGATTGTAGGTAAGCATTTCTTGTGAAGTATTGTGCAATTATTAAATGTGCTTTCCCCCCCAGCTTTAAGTAGAGATTGGTTTTGATTCCCAGCAAGTGCATGGGTGGAATACAACACTTCATTGTGATTAGAATGCTGTAGAAGCAGCTTTTTTGTGTGGTATTATGTGTATATATTTGTTTGTATGAGAGAGTGAAAGAGAGGAGAAAATGAAAACTGCTTTGACAGTGTTATTGAAACTATATTGTTCAGTAAATAGCAGCTGTTTTCCAGGGTTTAAAGGTTGTGTTGTTTGTAAGGTTCCTAGCTCATTGTATATAGTCAAAAGTATTTTCTGGAAATATAATAATAGGAAAAAAGGAAATATTTTTGGTCACTTCTTTGCTTCTTCAGTTGGATTTTAAATACATAGAATTGCAGTCCTAAATACGTCTATCGGGAAGGAAGTTCTGTTGCAACCATTTGGGTTTTCATCTATGTGAACAGGTTTTGAGTTAAAAGAACTTGTGTTTGTTCACTTCTAAGTAAACATATCTTAGATAACATAATCTTTTTTTTGTGTCAGGTGTTCAGAGGGTTTAGTCCATATTCATAACAAAGTTTATTAGAATAATGATTGCAATATTATGATGTTGGAGCAGACTTTTCTCTAAAGAACAATTTAATGTAGTTGGTGCTGGATTTAAAATAGAAAGGTCCACATTAATCTTTCTGCAAACTGGTTAATCTTGGTTCTTACCTTAGCTTACAGAATTATCAAAAAGATAAAAGGGGAAAGGCAGATATGCTGCCTGGTCACAGTCATTACTGAAAACGTAAGTGTTTTTCTGCTATGTGTTGTTTAAATTACACATAGTATTTTAGAAGCCCATGTTTTTTTTTAAAGTAAACTTTTCATTTTTCTAATTACAGGGTTAACTTTAAAAAAACAAATGTGAGCAAATAAAATATAGTAGAAATGAATCAAAAATATAAAATAAAATGAATTTTAGTTGAAATCATTTGTAGGTTGGGGTTATTTTTATAGCATTAAAAAAAGGAGAAAGACTCACAAGTATGAAGCATGATTAGCATTTAAACATGCTTAATACTTATGATAGTCTTTCTCCTTTTTCATTCTGCAATAACATTTAAACATAGATGTAGAAAACATTTCAGTTTACAGTGCAAAATGTAATTCTGGTTGAAAAACTAACAGAAGAATAGCACTTTTTTCCCTGATAAGTTATACACTTATACAGTTGTACAGTTATACAATTATTTCTTCTGGGCTGGGGCTGGGGGTGAAGATTGCCACAGAGGAGCCATGCAAAATGATCAGGGCCAAGAGTAGAGTTATATACTGCAACTATTTTTCTCTGGGTTTTGGGGGAGGTTTGTGAGTGGCTTTTTTTAAAAAAAAAAAAACTCTTCAACTTACTTTTGTGCCTTTGTGATAGTTTTGTTGCATAACTCGAAGGATATGCCATTATATTTTAGTCATTATAATCAGAGAGGACACTTGTTCCCCATTTGTTATAAGCAGTAAATTAAGCAAAGTACATTAATAATGCATTTTATTATCAGCCAAGATCCAAAGGAAGAGTACAACTAATGCTGCTTTCCCATTCAAAAAGCAGTTTTCCATTTCAATATTGAAACTGAAGAAGCTTTTAAAGTATTGATGTTTAGTAGCTCTTGTGACTTCTTGCTTAGGGGAAATTATTCTAACATTTTAAACGTTTTTTGGGATGAGCCTTAAGTAGTTTTGTGGGTAGTGGTTATTATTACGATTATTTTCAATCTTCCAACCTTATGTCACCTTCTGCTGGAAGGGCAGAAAATTACTTGGTGAGTATAACAGCAGTCCAGGGAATAGCCAGCAGGGATAGATAGCACAATCTGCAGTTTAAGGCAGCCCACAATTCTGGAAAATTAAACCCAGTTTTTTTTTGGCTTAAATATGAGTAAGGGATTTGAGGGCATGTATAGCAGCACGATAGTGTCCTTCACTAAACATTTTCTGTATTTCCAACAATCCTTGATGTTTTATTTAATACAGGCTGTTACAGCATTGTACTTAATAAATGTACCCACCTCTCTATTGTGACCATATTTGGAATCTCTGTTGAATGTAGCATGGAAGTTACTGCTTCCCTTGTCCCAAAATGGTTTGTGTGTAATAAAAGCAGTCTTATCTTTTTAGTTAAAAAGGATATTGTCTGCTATGGCCACTTGGAAAGAGAGAGCTGTGTTTTTTCTTTTGTTTTTCTTTCTGGAAGAAACTTATTTCCCTAATATTAACTGAGACAAGGGTGCTGTGTTATCAGGTTCAAGAAAAACATAATGAAACTCCTAAGGACTTTGCAGAGAAATAATCTAGAAACCTTGAAAAACTTGAAAATCAACTGCTTTTATTTTATTTTTTTCATTTTCAGGACTGGATAATCTTGTTTTTGTAAAATTCCTATACTGTTATGTGGTAATTGATATGAACAATATTTCAGTTTTGTCTTTATCAGGAGCTTTTATATATGTGTTGTAATCTTTATACTATATTTTGTCCCTTTTGATAGCTTGCTATTTATGTTTATACAATATGAATATAATTATTCATATGAGTGACTGAACTAATCATATGCAATATGATTATTTCAGTCACTCATGAAAACAGAAATTCATATACAGTCTACAAAGACATCTAAGTATGAAATTTACCACTTCCTCATTCAAATCCTAATATGCAAAATTCCAGTTTATTTGACAGAAAGACTTCTGATTTAATTTCAGCAATTAATGTGGGCAAACATTTAAGATGAAAAATTGTTCTGCCAAATTAATTAAATTTATTAATGATCTGTGAATCTTACCTAATGTGAATAATCTGTGAGGAGGTGATACAGCTTTGATGAAGCTTCCAAGAGATTCGGTTTCTTAAATCAAAGCCACTAGGAATCCCATTTAAGATCAGGCATTAACTGTCATTCATATGTTTTTAAAAGCTTTCTTAGTAAACGGGAACTAAAATTACTTTTTCTGATTCTAATATGGTGTAAACCATCCTCGGAAAACCAGATCTTGATAGGTTACGTACACATTTGTAAATAATCAGATAATCAATAATCAGGAGTTGGTAACAGTTGCTTTGATAAAGATCTTATATTTTTCTTTTAGGATGCTATTTAACTGTATAGTCTCAAACTTGACTATGATTCATACTGAGGAATCTGGAATTAAAAAGGCTTAACATTTGTGTTGGACTGACAGCTTGGCATTTAAATCCAGGATATCCCACTAATTGTAAACTGTAGTATTATCCAGAAATGTAATGAGAAAGAGAAGGAGGAACATTGCATTTTACTTTCTGATGACTTGCTGGCTCATTTGAATAATCATTCACTGTTTATTTTTACAGAGTGAAAGACTTGTTAGATGAGTAGACTCATCTTGTATATGGTCATGTTATGTAAATGATAAGTTTTTTTCTAGAGAAAACTTGTTCTCCAGGCATTTTGCTTATACACAGACTTTTTGTACAGAATCTCTTTTGTTTTTTAAGGACTTCCTGAAGCATCTTTAAATTAACAAGGTGCATGGAAAGAGGCACATTTTCAAAGGTCAGTTCTTAGAGCTTAGAGCTTTTTATGTGCTAGATCAAGTACTCCTGAATCTGTCAATCTAATTCAGTGTGGAATAACTTTCTTCTGCCAGTCTTTCCCAGCTTGGTTTTCTCCAGAGATCTTGTGTGATGAGGTGGATATTACTTCTGGTTGTTTCAGGATAATGGAAGATTATAGTATCACACAGATGGGGAAATTGCTTAAATGGAAGTTCTGAACACATGAAATTCCAGTAGCATAAAGGAACATCATGCTTTGGGAAATTGCTCTATAAAAAACTTTAAATGACTAATTGGAATAGTGTAAGAAGATTGTGTAATCCAGAAGATAGAAGCTTTGGTTTCATGTGCCTGGGTGACAATCAGGAAAGTTCATTTTATTGTCCTGACCAATCAGATACACTGCATTCATCAATTCTTGAGAGGGTGGTCTCCATATTAAATACTTATGCACACAGCATATTTATTAAGATGAAATTGCAACAAAAATCCTCTAGATTTCTCTATATTTCTGGTGTAGCTTGGAACTGGTTTGGTCTAATGGCCTTGAAACCAGGAGACTATGAATTCTAGTCCCATCTTAGACATGAAAGCCAGCGGGGTGATCTTAGACCAGTCCCTTTCTCAGCCCAACCCCACTTCATAGGGTGATTGTTGTGGGAAAAATAGGAGGAAAGAGTAATAAAGGCTGGATATAAGAAAAATCTAAAAAAAAAAAGTATTTAGGTTTGTTTCATTCTGATACATTCTATACATATTAGTTTCTTTACAGCAAGGAAACCCAAAGACCTTTGTAGCCCTTAAAAATCTAATGAATTTATAATACAATCCTGCACATTTTCCCTATATTGTAAATCTTATTCTACCAGTGTTATTAACTCCTTGCTATACAGGTAATCCTCAACTTACGACCACAATTGAACGCAACATTTCTGTTGTTGGTGAGACATATGTTAAGTAAATTTTGCCCCATTTTACGACCTTTCTTGCCACAGTTGTTAAGTGAATCACTGCAGTTATTAAATTAGTGACATGGCTGTTAAGTAAATACGGCTTCCCCATTGACTTTGCTTGTCAGAAGTTCACAAAAGGTGATCACATGACCGTGGGACATTGCAGTTGTCATAAAAATGAGCCAAATTACCAAGCTCCTGAATTTTAATCATGTGACCATAGGGATGCAGCAGTGGTCATAAGTATGAAAAACGGTCATTTTTCAGTGCCACTGTAACTTTGAACAATCGCTAAATGAACTTGTAAGTCGAGGACTGCTTGTATGTTTTTAGTACCGTGGCTCTAAATAGTCTGTGAGTCTGCATTTGTTGATGAGACTTCAACTAAAGTGTGTGTTATAGTCCAGGTTTGGTGCTTCAGATAGACAACAGCCATCACTATTCATCAAAAAGCACA